CAGGACAGGACCGTGGCAGGTGCTGCCACGGAGACGCCCTCAGTCCCTGGTTGAGAGCTGACAGCCCCGCCACGACGGCCAGCGTCCATTCAGCTCGAAACCCAGCTCTCAGGGGCCTAGTTTCCTGTCCGCGACGGCACGTGGGAGGGTCCCCAGGTGCGGTCCGGAGTCTGCTGTGCCCGCGCAGCGTCCACTCTGGCGGGGCCGGGCCGCCTCCATGGCTGTGGGGGGAGGAGGGGGTGTGATGGGGGTGTGGGGACGGGCTCTTCCCGGCAGCGTGTCTCTGCCCGTGACCCTCAGTCAGGGCTGGCGCCGAGTGATGGGTGTGTAACTCCTCTCAGCGAGCTGACTTAGACTCGTGTTAGCCTCACAGGAAGTGGCGAGCACACAGGGGATGCCCGCACCCCTGCCATGCGTGTCCCCTGGCCTTAGACCCATGTGAGTCGGTCGCCGATGGGCCTCTTCACTGAGGTCCACGCTGTTTCCTTAGACCTGACCCGTCCTTTCTGTCCCAGGACACAGCGCTGCCACGTGGTGGCGAGGCGCCTGGGGTCACTCACATGGATTCCACTGGACCTCAGCTTTGCCTTGTCTCCCTGTGGGTTCACGGTGGAACCCACCCGTCCCGGAGAGAAAAGGCAGGCGCGTGTCGCGGACGGCACCTGCCACAGATGGCAGGAGCACGCCTTTCAGGCTTTACCAACATGAAGGGCATGTGGTCTGCTCCCAGTCGTGTCCTGTCTTCAGGAGCGGAGTTTGGTCCCAGGAGGTGGACACGGTCTCCTCAGACTCCTCCCTCTAGGTGTCCCTACATCCAGTCTGCCCTGGGGCTCAGGACAGCACCGGCTGGACCAGAGCACTCAGGCCCAGCCCTGGCCCCAGCCCGGCTCAGCCAGGTGCAGTGCTTGCTCGCAGGCCTTGGGGAGAAGAAGGCGGGAGAGGCCCTCGGCCAGCCCAGGGCGGGCCGAGGAATGTGTAGTTGGGGAGAAAGCGGGTGACACCGGCCCCAGTGCTGCTGCGACCCTTCCCTAACCCTCCACGTCCCAAGTCCAGGCCCCCCACCCCCCAGGTTCTCTCTCCCACGCCCTTCAGCATCTCATTCTTCCTCCACACCCTGTGCCTCCGGGCAGCCGCACCTGCTGCGGGGACACGAGCAGGTTTCCTTTGCCCACTCAGGAGAGCCTGCTTCTCGCTAGACTTCATTTTATATTATTTGCTGCTAATACCAACATGAAATTTTAAAATCTAATAATAAAGTTGATGTTTGCTCAAAAGGCTCCATGGTTTCATCTACATTAAATGTCCACGGCAGATACGTCTGTAGAGATAGAAAGCAGGTCAGCTGTTGCAGGCCTGCGGGAGGTGGGGATGGGTTCGAGGCTTCTTTTGAGGGCGATGGAACATTCCAGAGCCACATAGCGGAGGAGGTTGCACAGCCTTGTGGGTATACTAGCAGCCACTGGTTATGGACTTCAAAATGGCGAGTTTTATGGTATATGAATTATGTCATTTAACATTTGATGCTTGTTCATTGCAGAGATGTTTTAAGAATAAAGTAAGAGAAGGGGTTTAAATCACCTCTATAATTTTCCAGATAACTGATAGTGGCGTTTGATGATGTGGCAGTTTCTGCTGTTGTCTTGTGTTTATTTTGCCTTTGGGTTTTGTTCCTACCCTTTCTGCTCGGACCAGGAGCAGCCTGCTGGGATCTGCGGGGTCCTGGCCTCCCTTGTCTTGTCCCCAGGCCCACCGGACGTTCTGCTCCCAGCTTTCAGGAGGCGCATGTCTTTTTAAAATTATTATTATTAATGTATTTTTATTGGTTTCAGAGAGGAAGGGAGAGGGAGAGAGAGAAACATCAATGATGAGAGAGAATCATTGCTTGGCTGCCTCTTGCATGGCCCCCACTGGGAATCGAGCCTGCAACCCAGGCATGTGCTCTGACCGGGAATCAAACTATGACCTCCTGGTTCATAGGTCGGCTCTACCACTGAGCCACGCTGGCCGGGCAGGAGCCGCGTGTCTTGAATGAGGGCAGCCATTTTGTGTCTAAATTTTATAGAGTAAGAGAATGACACTTAAATTTCAGAATATAAGTGGTGTCCTCATTTCTCAGTTAGGAGCAAGAGCAGGGCCTGGTTTTGTGGAAACGTCCCTGGGATGGGACATCCTGAATTTATTCACATGCTTGACGTGCAGAGGAAGTGCACTGGGCCTCATCCTTGCGCTTGCACACCTAGGTCCCAGCTTGGGGAATGCGGGCACGGGCACTGGAATCAGCCTCGTGGGCTATTTGAAACTTTATCTGCTTTTCCAAGAATATAGAGGACATCGTTTTACTCAGATACCCACCCCACCCTACCCAGGATGATGCTCGGGGCTCAAAGAAACAGAAAATCCAACATCTGTACTGAGTAGCACAACCTATTCGAAGAGAATCTTCACATTCCTGATGCCTGGGGGACTGCACGCCCGGGTGGGGGTGGGGTGACACCTGGCTCCTCGCACAGGAGTGTGGTTGTCCCGCCCCAACTCCGTGCATGAAGGCATACGTACGCTTCCAACCGCACGCTGCCCGGGAGGCCGGGGATCTTTTCCACGTGGAATTGGCTAATGGTGCTTATTTTTCTTCCGGGTGTATATTTATTCCACTGTTTCACACCATTTGTCAATTTCTAAGCAGTTAATAATTTTTATGCCTCTTTCAGATGTGTGTATATAGTACAAGTGTGTTTGATTTCCTGCGGTCTCTCTACATTTAAACAGTGCTGAGTGATGGCATGTGTGACATGCCCACCTAAAACTCCAAACCCAAACTGAAGCCTTCCGTTCTTTAGCAAAACCCGTGGACGGCCTTGCATTGCACAGGGCTCCTGCCTCTGCCCTGTGGCAGCGGCTTCTGTCCAGGCTCCCAGCGGGGCCGTTGGCCTCCCGAGGAGGTGCCCCTGCGTTTGCAGCACCGGCAGACCGGGAGCCCGGTGGCCTTGCCACAGGGAGCCGTGCTGTGTGGGCGGTTTCAGAGACTAAAGATGTCCCTTCCGAATGGCGAGTCGGGATCGTTTGGTGAAAGGTGGCCTGGGAGAGTGGCGTCCGGCATGTGGCCAGGTTGGACTGGCAGTAGTAGTGACAAGGAACTCCGCAAAGGGACGTGAAAGCCATGTGTCCCTGCGGCTGCGGGGAGCCGAGTGGCAGAGGCGCAGCAGGCCTGTGGCCGCGGCTTCTGCGCGGCTTCTCCTGCGGGCGCCCTGTGACTGCGGAGCCTGCAGGGTGCGCGGTCGGCCTGACCCCTGCGCCCTGCAGTGAAGGGCAGCCACGCTGGTGGAGCTGAGCCGCTGATTGGAAGAACTTGCTGCCTGATTCCGTCGAAAACCACGTGTGCTTCCTTTTCCACCTCGGCGCTTCGAGCCGGTCTCGTCGTAAGAGGGGTGTGAAACGTCTGGGGTATCTGTTAGCGCTGTTTCTCTTGTAGGAGAGACAAGTGGGATGACCTAATATTGAATTATAAACTTCTTCGGTACACTTTAAAAATTGTGATAAGTGCACATAACATAAAATTTACCATTTTAACCATTTTTTAAAAGAATTGATTTGAGCCCAGCCAGTGTGGCCCAGTGGTTGAGCGTTGACCTATGAACCAGAAGGTCATGGTTCTATTCCCGGTCAGGGAACATGCCTGGCTTGCGGGCTCGATCTCCAGTAGGGGGTGTGCAGGAGGCAGCCGATCCATGTTTCTCTCTCATGGTTAATGTTTCTCTCTCTCCCACTCCCTTCCTCTCTGAAATCAACAAAAAAAATTAAACTCTTGGCTTGAGAGGGAAAAACATCGATGAGAGAGAGAAACATCGGTCGGCCACCTCCCACCTTCCACCCGTGCCCAGACTGGGGATCGAGCCCTCTGCGATGACACTCCACCCAACCGAGTCTCGCACTCCAGCGCCCATTGTCACCATGTTGAAGTGTACAGTTCAGTGGCATTAAGTACGTTCACACTATTGTGCAACCATCACCATCATCCATTTCTGCAGCCTTTCATCTTGCAAAACAAACTGCCCATTACCCACGAGCCCCTCGCCTCCCCACCGCTCACCCGCCCTTCCACTTCCTTCTGTGTGAGCTCGACTTCTTCAGATTCCTCGTAGAAGCGAAACCCTGTTTGTCCTTTTGACCTGGCTTACCCCCAGCACCGTGTCCTGGGTGCGCCATGTGGTGGCAGGGGCCAGCATGGCCTTCCTTTCTGAGCTGCAGGGTAGTCCCCGGTGTGTGTGTCCGCGTCTTCCGCAGGCCTGGTGCATAAACCTAATCCCTCCAGGAGCTCTTCTGTCAGAATCACCCCTGACTTCACACCCTCCCACCCCCCAGGGTGGGGGACCAGTCAAAGCCCACTCCCAGGCAAAAGTCTAAAAGTAGAAGCAGAAGAGAAAGGGACTGGGTTGGAATAAAGGGTAGGGTCTATGGGCGCCCACCTGGCTTCTAGGGTGCCATGCACACCTGACCACCTTTCCTCCGTCGTCCTGCTGCGTTCCCAGCGGAGCAGACCAGCTCTGCTTTCGCCCGCCCTGTCTGTGAGTGGGGTGGGTGCTGCCTCTCTCACAGGCTCTGGGGTGGGGGTAAAGGTTGCAGTAACGATGAGCACTCCTGTCCTCCCCCTTGTGGGCAGATCTGTCCTTGGCTGCTGGCTGCAGATGCGCCTGGGGGCCAGGAGGGGTGAGCTGGTGAAGAAACGCCTCAGTTCTGACTGTTCAGAACTGCCAGGGCCTGGGTCTGGGGGCAACCTGCTGACTCTGGCCCCCGTGATTGACTTCCCGCCTCCCACGGTGCCCTGTCTGCTTGGATCAGGGAAAGGCCCACGTCTCCGGTTGCATCCAATCCGACCCCACAGAAGCCCCCTGGCAGTGCCCCTGCCTCTCCCTCCAGGCGCTCTGTACCCGGGGGCAGTTTTGCGGGAGCAGGACGATCTGTCGGGAAGGCGCGTTCACCCTGTGCTGTGCTCTCTTGTGCAGGGGATTCGGAGGCGCCTGACCCACACGACCCTTCCGGCCAACTGGATGGACACGGCAGCCCTGTTCCAACGCCGAAAGGTAACCTGGGAAGTGCTCCTGTATGCAGGCCTGGGCGGTGCTTCCAGAGTGGTGCCATCTTTACTCAAGGCTTGCTGCCGGGGTGGCACTGCCCATGGGGGGCGTGGTGGCACACTACCTCCCTAGCTTTCTCCGTACACTGCACTGTGGGGAGGTGGGGGCTGGTGAGGTAACGGCAGGGTTAGGCAGGTGACCACTGCAGGGAGGGCCGTAGGGCAGGTGGACTCCTGGCTTGGCCACGGCGTCTCCTGCTGACAGGTGGCCGTCCATCTCCTGGGGTTACTCTCGATGTGACTGTCCAGAGTGGAGGGGGTCTCCGCCGGGCACCGCTCCTCTCCCCGGGGTCAGCCGGGGCCTGGTCTCCCGGGGCCAGCCGGGGCCTCTCCTCCCCGGGGGGCCAGCCGGGGCCTCGTCTCCCCCAGGCCAGCCGGGGCCTCCTCTCCCCGGGGCCTCCTCTCCCCGGGGCCTCCTCTCCCCGGGGCCAGCCGGGGCCTCCTCTCCCCGGGCCAGCCGGGGCCTGGTCTCCCCGGGGCCAGCTGGGGCCTCCTCTCCCCGGGGTCAGCCGGGACCCGGTCTCCCCGGGGTCAGCCGGGGCCTCCTCTCCCCTGGGCCAGCCGGGGCCTGGTCTCCCCGGGGCCAGCCGGGGCCTGGTCTCCCCGGGGTCAGCCGGGGCCTGGTCTCCCCGGGGTCAGCCTGGGCCGGAGCTGCGCTTTGTCTTGTTGGTCCTTTGTCTTGTGGATGCTGCCTTCCCTGAGGTGTCGGCCTCCCTCTCACCTGGCGCCCTCTGTAGGCATCTGAGACTTAGAGTCAGCAGAATGTACTTCCTGCGACTTTTCTTCTTCACCCTCAGTCACCATATCACCTCCGATCACGGCCTCCGTCGGCGCGGCTGCCATAACCAAACCCCGCACGCGTGGCTCAGCCAAGGGGAAGGGTCCTCACAGTTCCGGAGGCTGAAAGTCCTGCAGAGGGCCGTGTCCCTCTTCCTGTGAGGACACGAGGCCCACGGGCCCCGCCCTCAGGACCTCGTCTAATGTGGTCACTCCCCAAAGGCCCACCTCCGGCATTTGAATTTGGGGACACCTGTAGTTTACAACAGTTACTGTCAGAACAGCCCCTTTCTTTCTGCCTGGCCTTGTGGCTTGAAGCCCAGAATCCATCATAGCTTCAGAGCCCCCTCACTGAGGGTCTGTGCCCCCGTAGGGCCTGTGCCTGAGGCTGGTCGTCTGGGGAGTGAGCAGCGGTGGCTGTCCCAGCCAGGGGTCCGGAGGGTGCCTCTGCTACAAGGGCTGCGGGTGTCGGTCCCCAGGATGCTGCGCCCCCTTCCCCCGGGGTGCCTGGGTGAGCGCATCGTTCGCTTAGAGGTCAGTTGTGTAAGTTGAGGGTGGCTGAGGCTCCGTGATGAGGTTCCCTGTGATGCAGCGAGTGTCCTCAGGACGGGAGTGGCCCCCTCCTGACCCCTCCCAGTCGTCTCGGGGTCATCGTGACCTGGCTCGCTCGCTGGAAGGCGGCCCGGCTGCCTGTGGGAGGCGTCTGTCAGGGCAGAGACGTGTCCCCAGGGGGCCGAGGCCGCGCTCGGGGGCCTGTGTGGGCGCTGGCCTCAGGAAGGGCTCTTCGGAAGAGAGGTCATTCTTGGGGCTTGGGTTCTGGAGCTGTTTCTCAGAGGCTGACGAAGCCGCAGGCCAGGTCAGACAGCCCTCGCCCTCGCCCGTCTGCTGACCGCCCGTCTGTGCTGGGCCCTGTGCGGCCCAGCTTCTCGTGATGGAGGCACGGGTGGGCTCTGCCTGGGGGCGGGGCTGGGAGCTGGCGTCCTGGGAAACTGTCAAGCCTGCAATTAGGGGTTGTGGGGAGGAGCCCAGGGAGGGATGAGGTTGCTGAGTGGAAGGAGATGGGGGGCATCTTGGCGTGGGGACAGAGGTTGACTGAGGTGACATTTGCTAAGAGATGATGGGAGGGGTGTGTCCGAGGCCAGTGCTGGGCCCTGCCAGGTCTGAGGCCACGAGGTCTCAGTGCCCCGGGCAGCTGAGTGAGGTGGGGTCATGGGCTGGGTGGACTGAGGCCCAGGGTCCCTGCACGGCCCACCAGCCACGCACGCAAATTAATGAGGCGAAGAGCCCAGCTCCTCGGTCCTACCTGCTGCATTTTAAGAGCCCAGTGGCCCCGTGTGGCTGAGGTGATGGTGATGGCAGCCCAGACCCGGAACATCCTATCGTCACAGAGAGGTCTGCAGGCAGCTCTGGGAGAGCGAGCGCACACAGCTCCTCAGACGCAGGAGAGAGTTCTGCCCCGCTCTTGCCTCCCGCCTCCCACCCTGTCCCCTCCCATCTCCCCGTGGACGGGTCCTGGTGGGATGCGGCCCCCTCGCCCCGTGGACGGGTCCTGGTGGGATGCGGCCCCCTCGCCCCGTGGACGGGTCCTGGTGGGATGCGGCCGCCTCGCCCCATGGACAGTCCTGGTGGGATGTGGCCCCCTCGCCCCGTGGACAGGTCCTGGAGGGATGTGGCCCCTTTGCCCCATGGACAGTCCTGGTGGGATGCGGCCCCCTCGCCCCGTGGACGGGTCCTGGCAGGATGTGGGCCTCCCTCACCCCGTGGACGGGTCCTGGTGGGATGTGGGCCCCCTTCGCCCCGTGGAAGGGTCCTAGTGGGATGCGGCCCCCTCGCCCCGTGGACGGGTCCTAGTGGGATGCGGCCCCCTCGCCCCGTGGACGGGTCCTGTGGTATGTGGGGCCCCTCGCCCCGTGGACGGGTCCTGTGGGATGTGGCCCCCTTGCCCCGTGGACGGGTCCTAGTGGGATGTGGCCCCCTCGCCCCGTGGACGGGTCCTAGTGGGATGCGGCCCCCTCACCCTGTGGAAGGGTCCTGGCGGGATGTGCGGGCCTGGTTTACACTCTGAAGCTGCAGGCGGCTCTGGAGGAAGTGGTGGGGAAGAGGAGGAGCAGGCAGGAGAGAGTGGACAGGCGTCGGTGAAGGGCTAAAATCCCTCTAGTCATTCTGTAGCCTCTCCCATCCCCTCGGGAGAGCATGCTGCCCCCAGAGCGTGGGCCTGCCTGTGCGCTGGGCTGGGGCAGGGGCAGGGCCAGGGAGGAGCCAGGAGTGGGTGGGAGTACCGCCGGCCACCGCTATCTCTTAGCCGGAGAGGCACAGCTGGATGGAGGAGCACGCTGACGGGTGTACATCCTCACCTGCCCTCAGCTGCAAGCATCGCTCATCAGAGCCGAGCTCAGGCGGCCCCTGGCCACTTTAGGAAGCTGAGCCGTGCTGTCCTCTGTCTGGCTGCCCGCATGTGGCCGGGCAGTTCTGCGGGGGCTTCCAGGCAGAGGTTGGGAGCCTGGATGTGCCCACGCACAGAAACAGCAAGCAGAGGCTGTGTGTCCTGGACAGCGCCGCTCGTTATAGCTGATGAGGGGCCACAGGAACCGATGGTAAAATCGGTCTCATTGTACGTTGTCTCGCTTAAAGCCGCAGATGTCATCCTGGACGTTAAGTGAGGACTTCCTGGACCAAAGGAAGCCGCCGGCCTGAGCAGGCCGGCCTGGCCTGGGGGCAGCCTGGGGCAGCGGCGTGTGAGGGCAGCGGTCTGAGCCGGGGTGGCAGGACAGCAGACCTGGACTGGATGGTGGCCTCGCCCTCCTGTTGTGGCCAGGGCACTGCTTGGGCCCCATGTCACCCCGTCATTGGAGGGATGAGAGGGCCCACCCAGGGGGAGCGCTCGCCCAGCATGCAGTGGCTGGACACTGCCATTTGTTGTCATTGCAATGGTGGTCGCTGCCTGTATGTCCATCACTTTCCAGACATGGCTGCCTCAGCAGCCCCAGAGCCCCAGGGGCCCATGCTTTCCTGGGCACCAGTTCTCTGGTTCTTTGGGAGCCTCCTCCTGGGGTCCCGCCTCCCCTGCACCCTCAGTGACAGACTGCAGGCGGTGCCAGGCGCCGACCCCTGCGCTTTCCTGCTGACAGAGCTGCTGGGAGGGTGCTGCCTGACTTAAATCATAGATTAAAGTAATGCCGGCTGAATGGATGGCATGAGCCTCTGCTTCCTCCAGTGCCGTTGCGGGCGGGGCCTATGTGAAGCGCAGGTGGTGACGGTGCCGCCTGCCGAGCAGATCAGGGGCTAGGAGCTGGTGCCCAGCGGAAGGGGCATTTGTGCTCAGATGCACGGGACCAGGATTGAGCCCCTGGTGTGCACGTGCGGTGGGTTCTGAGAGAGACCTGAGCCTACCTCGCAGGGCGCGGGCATGGCAGACGTGCGATGCCAGCTGCGGGGCTGTGCTAACGGGCTGGGCACTTAGCAGCAGTTTTGTTACATTAGATACAGTATTTTATTGTTATTACAAAAGCATGCATTTGGCCTGGAAACCGTTTACTCATTTGTTCCCATGCACATGCTCCCACCCCGCGTTTGGTGGACGCGGCACAGGCGTGCTGGTGGCGGGGGTCGTTGCGGGGTGCTGTCCGCCCGCAGCCTGCACATGCCCGCTCGCTGACCCTCGTGCTGACTGGAGGGAGGGCGCCGTCCCCTGGCGGAGGGCGGCTGCAGCTCCAGGTGACCTCAGGGCATCTGAATGGACAGAGAAAGCAGCGACCGCAGAGGTCACCGTGTTGGCATGGAAACGAAGCCTGTCCTCTGCCTCCTGAGAGCAGGTTCCCCATTCATGTAGGATGTGGATCGATTAGCATACGTGTTGGGTGCATATCTGGTTTATTATGGAAGTTGTGTGTGTGTGTGTGTGTGTTTGTGTGTGTGTGAGAGAGAGAGAGAGAGAGAGAGAGAGAGAGAGGTTGGTATAGATGAAGGTCTCCGTGGCTGATGGGGTAAAACTGAGACCAGCACCCTAACTGCAGACACGGCATTAGTTCTGTGATGGGAACGTGGCCCGGCGGAGCTGGAGCCTGGCCCTGCGCCTCCCAACTGCGTGTCCCCTGCGTGGTGTAGCCGGCAGAGCGTGCAGAGGCCCCAAGCCTCCCCCACCTCCTGGGCCAGGCCTCCCATGGGCTCGGC